TGCCTTTTTTGTGCTGGAAACTTTTAAGGGTCCCAAACCCTCAGGGGGCCCTGGACAAAGAAGGGGGTTTTGGGTTTAGGGTTTGGGGTTTAGAGTCTAGAGTTTAGGGGAACTCAAATTTAGTCGAACTCCGCTTTTCGTCATGTCCTAACATAACCCCTGGACTGGGACTAAGTGAGGCTTTATAGTGGGATAGGAGCTCCTAAGGCTACAGCCGAGAGGACCAGGTGCAGGCTGCATAGCAGGTTGAGAGATACGTCCTAAACCGACTTAAAACCCTGGCACTACTACTTCCCACCCTCCTAAAGTCCTAAACCCCAACCCCAAAACCCTCCTAAATTCCTAAACCCTAACCCTAAACGGGATCCTAAGCCCAAAGTTTAAGCCCCCAAAGCCCCAAACTACACGCTCGGAAGTGCTGGAAGCTTAGCCCGCGGCCGCTGCGGCCTCTGCCGCCACCTCCCCAGGGTCCTTCCAACCAAAACGCTGTTTCTTCTGGCGCTGTTTCTTCTGGCAAACGATGACAGGCTATTGGATTTTATACAGACAAAGATGCCAGGGTATTGGATTTTCGGAGTTCCCTTTAACGAAATTGATAAGATTTGGATGTTTCTTTCATTCGGAAGCGATGGGTTTCTGGCTCACATGAGCAGGCTTGGACAATGAATCTGCAGACCTCCAGCTCCCTAGGGCTCTCGCGATTCTAGCGTTGATGCCATCGGGGATAAGGCTTCTTAGCTCCAAGGTTAAAGTCTGGGGCTTCGGGTTTGGGAGTTTGGCGGTGAAGCTGTGGGTTGAGGGTTTCAAGGCCTTGAAATGGCTTTGGATGTTGTACGATTCGACAGTAGGAACATGTGATTGGAAGGCTCTTCGAGGGCTGCAAGGTGTCGTTGCTTGCTCTTCTGTGGCTTATCTCTTGGGCCGTTCTTAGTTGCAGACCCTTCTTGCTACAAAGGTGCCGAGTCCTGATCTCTCATAGGATGCTACAGGAAGTATTCCTACATCTCATTACTAATTACTGTGGATGGGTTGTAGCTAAAAGGCACAGCAAAATAGTCCATACGTAGGTACTTTCTATGCTTCCCATGTCGTCATTTTTCGAGTTGTATTGCATGTAAACGTGTGTTGCCTTTGAAGTAAACCTTTGGCTGTTTAGCAGTCTGCTCAATGCAACGGCAGCTCCTTCTCCGGAATTCGCACCATAATTGCAGAGGGCCACAGGTGACGAAGGGAATCCGCAAACAAAATCCACTTGTAGGTACAGTTCCAGGTATGACGTGCTTGTTGCTTGCATTGACAACTCGATGAATTCTGACTGAATCTTAACTCAGGATACAGTAGCATCTAACCTAGACCGCGCCTGCACGAAAGCACACATTCGATGTCAGGCAGTGTATCTTCAAGAGGACATACATTGCACAGCACTGTGTTCATGAGCCAGAGCCCGTGTTTCCGGCACGGTCTTGCGAAGGTCAATTCATGGAGTCGACCCAGGGGCGACGGCCATGTCCAACTCTCGCCGTGAGGACTAGTACTGTTGCTCGTTTACATTGATGGCTGACACGCGTCGACACAAGCTCAGCATAGCAAGAAGCAAGAAGGCTTGGTTCAACCAATGTAGGGCAGCATACGATGATGAAGACAGTCTCGCTAAATTCGAGATCCCCACCAGAGGCGTCGCAGGTTTCTGTGGAACCCACCTGACAACCCTGTGCAATCCCAAACCCTTAAATGCCTTAACTCTAAAACCCTCTAGAATCCTCGATCCTTGACCCTGAAACCCCAAACCTACGCAAATGTCAAGTAGATAAACTGGCCTCAAGTAGCTTCGGATAACACATAGGCTTCTTTTCCCGGTTAGATGCGCAACCTTACCGGAACCCTCTTAGAGAGCTTCGTACAATCAAGAAATGCGCATGGAGTCTCTACGACATGGATGAGAGGCTATTGGACGCTGGCTCGCACACTAATTTGGAAACCTTTCGGCGTCTTTGTGTCGGGCCGAATCCAATCTGCACTGTGCTTCTAAAGGGGTTCTAGGGCATCAGGGCAACACCAAAAAGACGACTGCGAGTTCAACACTGGGCATCAAGCCCCCCTAACCCGAAACCCCTACACCCCTAAACCCGAAACCCTAAGCCCTAAACCCTAAACCCAAACCCCCTCTCTCTTTTCTCTCCAGCGATCGTTAGCATCCTCGGCATCATCTCATTGGCCGGGGCTGAAGCTCACACTCGGAAGGCCAGGAGGCAGGACGGAAGAGAGAGCTGTGCTGTTTTGGTTTGGGGTTTAGGGTTTAGGGTTTAGGGAGGGGCCTGAAGAATAGGAACAGGCTTTTTCGGCATACTCTAGTAAAGTTACGTGGGTACAGAGAGTATTACGTAGGACTGCAGAAGACATGCGGCGATCGGTCTCTCTCCAACCTGCGTGTGTGGCGGTCTGCCGAAGTGAACATTGGCATGACGATCAGCTCAGCGTGAACAGCTTGGATCCTGGCTATCAGTCTAGAAGCCCTCAACAATCAGCCCAAAGCTTTGGGGACATATTCCAGTAGAACTATGTAGGGGGCGAAAAAAGGCGGTCTTGGTAGTAAGACTCGGATTTTTTTTTGGGGGGGTATAAAATTCTAATGATTAGCATCAACAACCGCTATAGCACACCAAAACTGCCATTACTTCTGCAACTGCTATTAGCAGATATTAGCACCAATGTTGAATTGGTGTTACTGTGTCGCGTCCCTGGTCACTACTTGTGCTTGTTCGTTTTCACAGTGCTCCCACTCTGCATTACCACGGACCGTCCTGGAACCTCCACTGCTGCACATGGTGGTTTGCTAGAAATGGCAATCAGAAGGGACCTGCCCAGCCTACTGTACCCGAGGCACCTGAACCTGACACGACACAACTCCTTTACACCCGATGTTGAAGCGAAGTTCCCCCCTGATGCATCGTGTCCGCAGTCCTTCGACGTCTTGTGCGGCATCAAACTTCCGCATATATGGAGATGGAGGACATCCTTGGCAGGTATGCAGCATTTTCGCTGACTGAGGCTGAAACCTTCAAGCCAGCGGCAAGAAAGCAACACCACGTTGCCGAATCAGGACTTTCGGGATTGAGGATTTTTGGGGCTTAAGGGTTTCGGGTTTTGAGTTTTATGGGGCTTAGGGGTCTAGGGTTTTAGGTTGTGTGTGTGTGTGCGTGTAGTTCTGTACAAATGTTGGCCAGGAAACGCACACGAAAGACCCCGAAACCTCGCAAGACTTGAAAGCTCGCTAGACCTATCCAGCCCCAGGAACGACGTCTGGGATCTCATTCTATGCCGTAGAAAACTAGCCTTGCACAGTATGCTCAAAAGCTCGCCTCTTCCCGACATGCAGGATCTCACAATGTCTCTCTCTCTCTCTCTCTCCCTCGTTCTTTTTTTAAAATCTCTCTCTCTCTCTCTCTCTCGTACTTACTTATATATATATATATGTATATTATTTATATATATATAACTTATATAACATGTTACCAAACTTTCTAGATTCTAGAAGCTTCCCTCCTGCAGCTTGTTATCACCCCCCCACCACACAACTAAGCTCGGGTCGAGTGCTGCAGGCTGTTGTGCCTCTCATTGCGAAAAGTTCCCCTGGGGAACAGCCAGAAGAACCTCGGCTTCTGCCCCGTTCGGGTTGGGGAGCCCTAAACTCGGGCTTCCCTAAACTCTGGCTTGAACTACCATAACCTACTCTTTGTAGGCCCTACAAGATGTAGGTCCTTAGGTTGTCTGGACTTAGAGTTATGGCATTTTAAGGTATGCACATCACAAACCCTGAAACCCGAGATGGATTCCGCAATGAGCCACGGATTTCGGTCTTGCATCTTCTGCTCATGGGCTTTTCTAGTCTTCTCGAAGGGTACTAGACGGACGCTATTGAGGATTCTATCATAAGAATGCTCTTGGGTTTAGGGTTTCGGGGTTTAGGGGTTTAGGGTCTAGGCGGTTTAGGGACGTGTCTGCATTTCAATTCTCAAGAGCAAAACCATGGAGGTACTTACCATTTGCATAATGGCATAGCAAACTCGGCCCCCGTTTATCCAGTGTGCCCGAAACTGGACACTTGGCATGCAAACCGTGGCAGGTCTAAGTGATGTGCAAGCACTAAAGAGAACCACAAACTCAAGCCCAGAATCCTTCGCTTTAGGGTAGCTTCGTTTCATGCTTGTGCATCTGCGAGCGAGTTCCCTTCTGACGGACCGATGTTTGGCAGGGCAGACAAGGACACGCAACACGAGGTGCGGGCAAATGCCGCAGTGGAGCGCAGCATAGGCACCTTAGCCGGGCACCACTTTGATGATCCCCAAACCAAGCGTTTCAGGTTATTACAAACAGCACCCTCAATCGTAAGTGTCTCAAACCGGAAGGACATGCAGTCTGTATCCTTGGACCCACTTGGAGCCCGGCCAGTAGATTAACTTCATCCACAGCCATAGGCACGCAGGGACCTGCGATGATGATCATGAACACAGACAACGACCTTCTTGTACGAAGAACAAAAGCAAGGACGAGGACGTGGATGGGGACGAGGACGCTAATGCCAACGACGTCTACTACTACCACTACCAGTACCAGTTCCGCTAGCACTACCCCTACCACCTCCGCCACTGCCGCAACTGCCACAGCTGCTGCTGCTACTTCTGGTGCTGCTGCTACTACTACTACTACTATTATTATTATTATTACTACTACTACTACTACTACTACTACTGCAACTACTGCTGCTACTGCTACTATTACTGCTACTGCTACTGCTACTACTGCTGCCACTGCTGCTACTACTACTACTACTACTACCACCACCACCACTACTACTACTACGACTACGACGACGACGACTACGACGACGATTACGACACGACTGCTGCCGACTGCTACCGCGACGACAAAGGTCCCACCCATACCCTGAACCAATCCACCAAACCGATACGGTAAGAGGTTGCAGATTCCCCAACATCAGCCTGGAAGCACATCAGCCATCGCACGGTCTCTTCGAGACACCGCCTGGGCTTGGGGGTTTACTGCTCAGCGCCTAGGGTTTGGGATTTAAGGCTTAGGGTTCAGGCATGCTCAGGATATATGGATTTGGATGCAGGGTGTCTGCAGGTATAGGGACAAGAACTGTGATTAAGTCAAAATGGAAAGCTGATGCTGTTTTTCCGTCCATGGCTGGCAATCACAGTGCCGGCAGTAACTTATAGCAACTACAAGTGACAGACTGAAGGAGGTACTGCAACTTGCAGCTCAGGGTTTAGCTTGGGAAGGTGTCGAGGCCTTCGGACATGTGTATACACACACACATATATATATATACACACACATACATACATACATACATACATACATACATACATACATACATACATACATATATATATATACACATAAATACACACCACATATGCGTACCTGTATGTGTGTATGCATATACATAAAATATGTGTGCATATATATATATATGGGATGTTTAACTTGGCTCCTAAGCTCCCCACACCAGGCAGGTAGTCTGGCGGCAGAAGACTTTGCAGCAACTCCGACGGCGCTTGTAACCTGAAGCCCATGCTTGGTATGGACACTATCCGGGCCTGAACCATTGGGATATTTGGACATATAAGTATATAGCCACCAGTCCAGGAAATGTCATAAAGTATTCAGACCTCTGCATTGGGGTGCTTGTTGCAGCTAATTTGGCATTGAGGCACAGGATTTAGTCATTGTTACATCTCTGCCGAGTCAGTGGACGTCTGAACCTCAATGCAATGAGCGAGTATTGTTGCATAGTAGTATAGTGTAGAGTAGATCCCGAAAAGTTGGAAACCCCATAGCGGCAATCCTTAAGAGCAACGTATAGGGAATCCCAGCACTAATTGTCCTTCATCGGTTTCCGACATTTGTGAACTTATAGTAGTAGGTAGTAGTAGAGGTCGTCGTCGTCGTAGTAGTAGCGACAATAGTAGCAATACCAGTTGCGGTACGAATACTAGTAGGAGTTGAAGGATGTAGCTGAGGAGGAACAGAGGCAGGAGGTGGATAGGTAGGAGTGGGAGCCAAACAGCGAGAAGCAGGAGTAGGAGCAGTGGCACATAAGCGGTTGCAGTTGCTCTACTAAACTAGTTTTATAGTTTGTTCTTTGTGATTGCTTCGTTTGCTCCTGTTGTTGGTGGTGTTGCTGCTGGTTGCAATATCAACTCCCAAACTGACATTTGTACGTGACTCGGTTACGGTGCCTCAATATTCTGGCGACTCTCATTCTGGGTTTGTCAACGATATCAGTGAGAGCTGCTCGAAGGAATTCATGGACGAAACAGGGCAAAGCCACAAACCCTTCGGCAAGACTTCCTCGGCAGGCAACAGTTTGGGTCATCGAACTTGCTGATTCCAACTGAATGCAACGTGTAGGGACTAGGGATTGATTTGTGGGATGCGCTGCACAGCATTTATAGCTCTCAGGGGAATTGCAAGAGGAAATACCCCACGCCTGCATCTGAGGCTGCGGCCGTCACGCACGATTGCAGCTTGCTCCGTGCCTGCATAGGCAAAGCCAAGGGGCTCTCGAGAAGTGCCCTCGCTTAAGTGGGCTTTCATGATGCCTCCGAACCATGTGAACATCGCCTCGGAACCCACACATCCAGCCTTGCCTGCGCGGAAGACAATGTCAGCATTCCTTCGGATGCCATCTGGATCATCCTGGTGTTGTGCCTGACTTGCAAAGACCAAGGGGTTGGGATGAAGCCTCAATTGCCTTGATATCGTAGCCCGTTGGACAAGCTTGAGGTTGAGACCTCCGTATCATGTAGAGTCAGCATCCGGTCAACTTGGTTTGTCGAGCCTTGTACTCATCGAATCTGCATTCCCAAATTGATTGGGGGCTATAATTGATAGTGAAAGAGGAACCAGAATCCTGTAAGATTCAGTATTTTTCGGCTGGACGGTATGGAACCTGGGTATGTGGCTTGGTGGTCAGGACATAAGGATTATGGCTGGCGGTTTGGGAGGCATGCTCGCCAGGGACGGGATTCAAGTTGGGAAATGCAAAAGCTGGCATTGCAGGCTATCGAGAGGCAGCAAGCAAGCAAAGCAACAAGGCCTGCAGTTGCAATGTGCTGTGCCGGCTAGGAGGTCACAGCAACTTCTGAAAACACTGGTAATTGCATTCGGCGCAAATGCGCAATGCAGCAAGCGAGTGTCGAAGCTAGTTGCAAGATACTTGTCAGAATGGTGAATGCCAAGTCGCATTCTGAAACTGAGATGTGGCAAAGCCCAAGTCCAAGGCATGGGACAACGATGCATTGGACGTGAAGGTGCTGCAGCTACTTTGACACTGCTGGCAGAGTCTGCATGTGGTGTTCGTGCACATGCACACTGTAGCAAAACAGTGTCCAAACAGTTTGCAGAGAACAATCGAGCAACTTTGCTGAGTGCTCCTAGCAAGGCCTATTAAGACTCACGTAGTTAGCTGCTTCCATCGTTTCATCTTCACTGCACCCTAAAGGTCCTAATTATCCCGCAAGCCCTCATCATGTTTTCGGCACATCTACTAGCATTACAGAGTTGATGGACTCGAACTCTTTGTTTGCCTACAAGGTCGTTCGTTGGAAACGGACTAGGCCGGGGTTGTCTGCATCTTTCAGAGGTTCGAGGTTGTGTGCCTTGGATTATGGGTGCACTGGTAGGCCGGGTGTTTTTTTTTAAGAGGGACAGGTTTCATGAACGCATTGCATGGGCGCGTGAACGGGGGCCAGCAATGCTTGGCATGGAGAAAAGTCGCGGGCATCGCCCAATCTGCAAGCGGTGAAGATGTAGCAACACCTAAGGCCTAAGGTCCAAAGCATGAGAACATGAAGGTGCTGCAGCTACTCTGACACTGCTGGTAGAGTCTGCATGTGGTGTTCGTCGGTGTTCGTGCACATGCACACTGTAGCAAAACAGTGTGGAGGTAGTTCAGTATGTCGGTAAACAACGGCACGATTGGCCAGCGGAAATGAATG